AAAAAAAAAAAAAAAGCCGGTAGAAAACCAGTTCATCTTTGAGTATTATATTTAAAAAATTGTTTATTAGCATAATCTTTTTAGAAATTGAATATTGACTTTAGCCAATTTTGTATCAGCACAGATCCAAACCACTAATTTGAATTTTAGTTTCATTTTAAGGCTTAATCCCTCGACCCTGGGATCATGACCTGAGCTGAAGTCAAGAGTTGGTTGCTCAACTGACTGAACCACCCAGGTGCCCCCAGTTGCAATTATTATTGATGATTAAACTATGAAAATTATTCTGATTAAGAAAAACAAATTTCTTAATTCTTTTGTTTTTACAGGGAATTTTTATTTAATGCAATTGAAACAATGCCATATGTTAAGAAAAAAGCAGATTGGGCCCTACGATGGATAGCAGATAGAAAATCTACTTTTGGTAAGTAGCTTTAATTTAAAAATCATCAAATTTGGCTCAGTTGATATAACACTTTCTATGTGGTGTGACTATCAGGTACTAATCAAAGTCACAGAATGGAAAAGGAATACAAATGTCACCATATGCACCTTTCATGGAATCATTCCTAATTCTTAGGAACCAGTGATAAAATAATCTAAAGCTGTTATCTATTTTGTTTAATAAGTTGTAAGTTGAAAGGTTAAGACACTAGTACATAATTACAGGTATATAAAAGTCACGTAGAATCTAATAAGAATATTATAGCAAGCACAGTTTGTCTCTGCTTTCATGAATGTTGATTTTAGAAATTTAAAGCAAGTCAAACTCACATTTTTTTCAGGGAACAAGTGTGTAGTTTCTGAAAAACTATACATAGTAGTTGCTCAATAAATATTTATTAAAATTAATTAAAATATTCAGATACTTTATTTGAATATCTCTAAGTACCTTTCTCATTCTCATCTATTTAATAATTGGTGGTCTTTACTTTCTGGTTGTATTCATTATATAGGGAAGCAAGTCTCAAAATTTTTGGTCTCAGGATTTCTTTATGCTTTTAAAAAATATATATATTTTTTTAATTTTTTTTTTAACGTTTATTTATTTTTGAGATAGGGAGAGACAGAGCATGAACAGGGGAGGGTCAGAGAGAGAGGGAGACACAGAATCTGAAACAGGCTCCAGCCTCTGAGCGGTCATCACAGAGCCCGACGCGGGGCTCGAACTCCGGACCGTGAGAGCCGAAGTTGGACGCTTAACCGACTGAGCCACCCAGGCGCCCCTATGCTTTTAAAAAATATTGAGGACTCATCTATTTGTGTGGTTTGTTGATATTTCCATATTAGAAATTAAAACAAACTTACATCATTCAAATTTGGGTTATTAAATCATTTTAAAATAGCAATAATAACCCATTATATTTTATTATAAATAAAATAACAGTAATACCTCATTATATTTTAGTATAAATAGCACATATTTATGAAAAAACACTATTTCATACCCCCCAAAATTTTGCAACCTTTTAAATGTCTGATTTAATAGAAGACAACTGGATTATATCTGCTGCTACATTCAATTTGTTGTAGAATATTTTTGTAGTTTATTGTATAGTTATGAAGAAAATCTAATCTTATTCAGATGGGTAGTTAGAAAAGGGAGCACTACTTTACCAGGCTTCTTAGATTATTGTGGATGAACACCAATGTATGCTCATGAGAGAATGGTAGTAAAAAATAAATAGTACCTTAGCATTGTTATGAAAATAGTTTTGACCCCAGACCTCCTCAGTATGTGGATTTCCAGGGAACCTCTGGACCACATGTTGAGAACCAGCAATGTAGAGAAGGGTATGGGGCAAGCCTGTTTCATATCAGGGAAGAAACAGATGTCTGCATTGCCTTCAGTTCATTTCAAGAATGAGAAAAGTGATGGTTCTCAATGGGCATAAAAAATCACCCAAGAGTTTGTAGAAAAACCCTGCAGAATCCTGGTCCTCACCAGAGAGTGATTTAGGAGGCCCAGGTAGGACTGGGGAATCTGCATTTTATATCAAGCTGATTCTCTCATGAGTGGTTTAAGAAATACCAGCTTTAAAGAAAAAAAGGAGGAGGGGCCCCTGGATGGCTCAGTCGGTTAAGCGTCCTACTCTTGATTTCGGCTCATGTCATGATAACGTGGTTGTGAGATCCAGCCCTGCATCTGGCTCTGCACTGACAGCACAGGACCTGCTTGGGATTCTCTCTCTCCACCGTTCACTTTCTTGCTCTCTCTCAAAATAAATACACATTTTTGAAAAAGGAGGAAAACGTCAAGGTGTTCAGTATGCATCAAAAATATTCGTATGGATAGGTACCAATGGCAAATGATGAACAGGCTCAGATAGCATATATTTCATGAGGTACCAATGGCAAATGATGAACAGGCTCAGATAGCATATATTTCATGATTACCAAAGAAAGTAACCTAGAAAGAGAGAAAATAGAGGAGGGCGGCAGCCACCATGTAGCAACATGAGGGCTCCAGTGAAATTCTCCATATTGCTTGCCCCAAGGCAAACCTATAGTGCAGATGCAGAAAAAGCACCTGACAAAATTCAATGTCCATTTATGATAAATTCAGGAACAAGACAAGGATGCCTACTCTCACCACTTTTATTCCACAAAGTATTGGAAGTCCTAGTTGGAGCAATTAGGCAAGAAAAAAAAAAAAGGCATCCAAATTGGAAAGGAAGAAGTAAAACTCACTGTTTGCAGATGACATGATATTATACATAGAAAACCCCAAAGGCTCCATCAAACAAACAAACAAAAAACTATTAGAACTAATAAAAAGATTCAGTGAAGTTGCAGGATATAAAATTCATATACAGAAGTCTATTGTGTTTCTATACAATAATAATGAACTATCAGAAAAAGAAATTAAACAATCCCATATATAATTGCATCAACAAGAATAGAATACCTAGGAATAAATTTAACAAAGGAGATGAAGACTTGGATATTGGAAACTATAAGCTATTGATGAAAGAAATGAAGACACAAATAAATGGAAAAATATTCCATGCTCAGAGATTGGAAGAATCAATATTGCTAAAATGTTCATAATACCCAAAGCAATCTATAGATTCTGTGCAATCCCTATCAAAATTCCAATGGCATTTTCAAAGAAACAGAATAAACAATTCTGAAATTTATGTGGAACCACAAAGAAAATCCCAAATAGCCAAGCAATCTTGAGAAAGAACAAAGCTGGAGGCATCATACACCCTGATTTTAAACTATTTTACAAAGCTATAGTAATCAAAACAGTATAAAAAAACAGACACATAGATCAATGGAACAGAAGAGAGAGCCCAGAAATAAACCCATGCATATATGGCCAATTAATTGATGACAAAGGAGCCAAGAATATACAATTGGGAAAAGATAGTCTCCTCAAAAGATGGTATTGAGAAAAGTGGACAACTACAAGCAAAAGAATAAACTGAATCACTATTTTACACCATATACAAAAATTAAATAGATTAAAGATGTGAATGTATGACCCCAAGCCATAAAACTCCCAAAAGAAAACATAGGTGGTAAACTCCTTGACATAGGTTTTGGTGATGATATTTTGAATCTGACGCCAAAAGCAAGGGCAACAAAAGCAAAAATAAACAAGTGGGATTACAGCAAACTAAAAAGCTTCTGCACAACAAAAGAAACCATCAACAAAATGAAAAAGTAACATACTGAATGAGAGAAAATATTTGCAAATCATATATCTGATAAGG